GTGTGTGTGTGTGTGTGTGTGTGTGTGCGTGTCACACACACACACACACACACACACACACACACAAGCGCCTACGACGAGCGGAAACGAAGAGGGGGGGGGGGCACTCACCTTGCGATGGTAGACGGCCAGTGAAAACGAAGACGACAGGAGGTTGGCCTTCACCAGCACGTCAAGAAAAATGGCAGTGGCGCGTCAACAAGAACGCTGTTCGAAATTGAACTCAAATTCCCAGCGCCAAACTGCTGCAGGGGCATCACAGGAAGATGGGTGCTCCTTATGAGGGCATATGGCACATAGCCCAATGAAATGGAACCGCCGGTTGAGGGAGGGCGTCATGGGAAGTTGCGCCACTACCGACAGGGGCCTGCCAGAAAGATTTTCAGGCCCAGGGGCGCGGCAGGGTATTTCGCATGTCGGAGGGGCGCAATGCAAATAAATGGAAAATACAGGGGCGCCAGACAAATATTCCCTTTTATTTTTTATTTCCGAGTTTATAAGGAATTCTGTAGTGAGCCTCAGCCATAAGATGGTCGCATTGCAATTCTGGACAAACATTTTTTTTTTTTACAGATTTTTTTTTTTTTTTTTTTTTTCGTTATTTTGGACCCCCACCAAAGTTGCCATCAATTTACTGAATACAACGCCCGGGCGTTATAAACGAATTTAACGCCCCGGCGGACGTTATATTCGTACACAACGCCCAGGCGTTATTTTCGGGTGAAGACGGTAGCTAGGTGAACAAGCTCATGTCTCCATATACCAAGCACATGAATACGCACAGGTGAAGAGTGTGGGTAGTTGCGTTGGGTCGACTGCAGTTATTGTTTGCCCAGGATTTCCACCAGGCAGTGGGCCTTGCTCCACTACTCGCCACATGCACAAAAGACAAAAAAATATGGCAGTGTATCTTTCCACGTTGTAGTAGAAGATTCTTTCTCATTTGCACGTTTGGTGCGTAGAAGAGCGAGGCCCAAGTTTGGTGTGAGGGAAGGTGCGGGGCACTTTGCTACCTTTGGGTGAGGTGATGGGGTGGTGCATACGAGACACACAGAGAGAGCCTCGCTCCGCTACGGTAAGTCTCCAAATGTGCATAAAGAGACTGAATCTCCCGCTAGAACATAATGGTGTAATAAACCCAGTCTGAGAGATACTCGTCAAGTGTCGAAGTACAAGAAATCTCATCGCTGAATAATGTCTCCTATAATCGTGAATGCGATCTGCAATACAATGTCCCGTAGCCAATGGACGAAGATAGGAGAGGGGGGAATAGACAGATCAGAGGGTGGAAGAGATATCCAGCAATGACCACAGAGATTGCAGCCCGACAGTACCCTTTCCTTCTCCGGGCCTCGCCACCCTACTAGTATCTTCCTGCGGAGAAGGGCAAGATGCATCTGGTACTACGAATAGCAATGGATGCATCCTACCACTTTCGGCGGCAGATGGATTCATTCTCTTTTCGTTTCGACAGTGGTGTGGCGAGGCCCTAAACACATTCTAGAGCACCCTCGAACTCCTTGGGAGCCCCCGCCTGCAACCCAACATTTTTGAGAGAGCTCAGCTGCACTACCGAGTTCAGCCCCAAAGGCCGAGAGTTGGCCTCGGCGGACAAGACAACTCGTGTCAGCTTTTTCTCACACTGAACGCAAAGAGGGCCCTACCTTCTTCCCCCGAATAGAACATACGATCATTTTCGCCTCACACTGAACCCAAAGCGGTCCCTACCTTCTTGCCCCGAATAGAACATACGGTCATTTTTGCTGCATCTGGACAGAAAGACGAGCCACATTCTGCTATAAAATTGGGGGACAACGGTAGGAGTTTGACAGCGCAGTACTGGAGAGTTCAGTGCCGCTAGATGTCCTCTCAAATTCCCCAGTCTGAGAGTACTCTCAAACTTTTTTGCCAGATTGTAGAGTGTGGTGTGACGTGGCGAGGCCCAAAGGGCCTAGATGCACAACTTCCCATCGGCCAAAATTTTGAATGCATCTGGACATCATGTTATTCACATGCTTTCAAGACGTGACGTTCAGATGTTAACAAAGATTTTGAATGCATCTGGACATCATGTTCTCCAGATGCCTTCAACGATCTTGGTGGATTATTAGCGAGTGGTGCAAGTACCTTCTTCCCCCAAATACAACGTATGATAATTATAGCTGTATTTGGGGTACTTGTGAGTCCAAATGCAGTTATAATGACCGTAGGTTGTATTCGGGTGAAGAAGGTAGGCGACAAGATTATGGAGACCAACAATCCACAATCTTTGGGCATCGCTCCACTACTCACCAAATCCACAAAAGACAAAAAATAGATAATGGACCTAGGATACCAGAGTGGCCCGGGGCCACTTGCCTGGCCGGGCCACATAAAAAAAAAAAGAAAGGTTTTTAACTTCATTTTTTATTTTAAATATGGTAAAGAATTTTCCACGTGACCCTGAGGCAAAAGTTGTTCAATTTGTTTTTCTGCATAACATAGTTTTCTTTTGGATTTTTTTTTTTGTTGTCTTTTTTTCTATTTTTTTTGGCTAGGACCTTCCCTGGTCCTTGCACGGCCGGGCCGTCCCAGAAAATAGGGTGACCCGGGCGCCCCGGCTGGTAGCCTAGTAATGGACAACTAAACAAAAAAAGAGAAGAAGAAGACTATGGTTACCAATCCACTATCTTTAGGCCTCCCTCCACTACTTACAAAATGCATAATTTTTTTGATTTGTTTTTTTTTTTTGGCCCAATGGACCACAGATCACACTTTGACCTTAGCCAAACAAAAGGCCGAGAAAAGTATTAAATGTTGTGCAAAAAAAAAGGGACGCTGGACCCGGTTTCCAGCAGGTGATGCTCCCCACCAATAGATGGAGCAGTTTATTAAAAAAAAAAAAAAAAAAAAAAAAAAAAAAAAAAAGAAGAAGAAGAAGAAGAAGAAGGAATCTTCCGCTAGAATACGTCTGTTGTGCATTTGGTGTGTAGTGAAGTGAGGCCCATTATAAAGGGCCTCGCTGCGCTACTCTAGATTCAAGCTTTTTCTTGAGTGCGGCATGGCTGCACTTCCTCTATAAATTGGCGCTCGGCGCTCGAAAACCTGTTTTAGAGCTGTCAGAACGACCGAGAGGGATTAAGTGGTCCCAAACATGTAAAGCTAAGCCAGCTAAGGTAGCCTCCTTGCAATGACAAATAGTTCACAGATGTCTGCCCTACGAATGACCGGATTATTGACAAAACTTCGTTAGAGCAAAGAGGTATTAGCTCATCCATGGTGTGAGTTCTGTAAATCAGCCTTTCCTTCCAAGCTCATTCCTGAAACAATTGAGCATATTTTCCTCCAATGCCCAAGGCCGGTCTGGCTCTGGAGATGGCCGGATAGGATCTGGAATCAACTGGGTACCACTCTGCCCTGGCCCTGGGAATGGAAAGCTCTCCTTTTGGAATATTGACAAAACTTCGTTAGAGCAAAGAGGTATTAGCTCATCCATGGTGTAAATTCTGTAAATCAGCCTTTCCTTCCAAGCTCATTCCTGAAATAATTGAGCATATTTTCCTCGCCCAAGGTCGGTCTGGCTCTGGAGATGGTGGGATAGGATCTGGAATCAACTGGGTACCACTCTGCCCTGGCCCTGGGAATGGAAAGCTCTCCTTTTGGAAACCTGGCTCCCGGGTCAAGGGGATGAATTCACAACTAACCTATTCTTAATTGGTAGAAGGGCGATCATTTGGGCAATCTGGACAAGAAGGTGTACCTATGAAATGGAAGGTGCACGACTGAATGGCCCAGACTTTACTGATACTATTAAACAGCAGATTCAAACAGAATTGTCCATTAAATGGGAATATTTATATTTAAGAGAGAAAACCCAACATCTATCCTTACAAAATGAGATCTGGCACCACTTCAAACAGTTCAACAGAAGTTGGCTTGGGGGAGACCAGGGGGGGAGGTTAGGGCAAGTAATGTGGGAAGGTGCATATGAGAACTCACAAGAGCCCTTCCAAAGGAATTATCGGTTGGTCTTCAACGACTGGAGTACTGATGATCCTGCTATTCCCTTAAGGCCTCTTTCTGAATTCCCTGATTTCTTTTTCCCTCCGGGTAACTGTCTTGTGCCCTCTGCGTGGTATGGATAGGACAGAGGCAAGGAGTAGGAGTATGGGGTTCTTTCCTCTCAACCTTTTATGGTTAAGATTTTGGTTATGTGCTTGGTATTCAAGACTTTCTGGCGCCCAGATTGGGTGAAGAGGCACAAAGAGGCACAAAGCTAGTTCAGTAGTAATACCCTTGGGGGAAGCTGTGTCTGATTCGAAGCAGATTTGGTTCACTTGGATCACTTATTTCATTGTAAAAAAAGTATCATCATCATTAGTATGATCACAGTTTACATAGAATCAGTAGAAGTTCATCATCATCATCATCATCATCATCATCATCATCATTATTATCATGATACGAGGGACGCTGAGCCCGGTTCTCAGCAAGTTCGGTTCGGTCACTCCGGGTAGACTGTGAGGACCCTGGCCTCAATCTTCTTATTTGTAATATCAGCCTTGGGCACTGGGCCTTCTATAAAAAAATATAAAAAAAACTTTCCCCAACCTGAAATCAACGGAACCAAAGCACTGATGAGTCGGTGTGCAGCGAAACCTTTGTGAGATTGTATTACAAAACGAGTTTGTGAAAGAAGTGTTTCAAAAAAAAATAAAAAAAAACGACTCTTATAGAGTTGTCATCCCTCCACTTACTCGATAAGTTCACTCTAGATTTTTCATTTCTAGGGTTGTCAGAGCGGGTCGGTCCTTCTCACTCTATATCGATCTAGAGTACTTTACATTTTTCTAGGGAGATCTGAAGGACCCTTGAAACTCCTTGGTTTTCCTAGAGTGGGCCTTGAGTCTGGACGGACAACCCAGGCTGGCGCTGTCCTGTAGTGAATAGGCCGAACTCAGAAAGTGATGGAGCAACTCTAACTTTCTAGAGTCTAGAGCTAGTGCAGCTATGCGTTGATTTTAGGACTTTTCACGACTCTGGCAGCTCTAGAACGACTCTAGAAGTTTCTCACGAGTCTAGAGTAGTGCAGCAAGCCCCAAAGTATGAGCCTGGGGCTCGCTCCACTACTCACCACAAGACAAACATTATGTGGTGCATCTTCCCATGTTATAGTGGAAGATTCATCCCCATTTTGCACATTTGGTATGCGCCTATGGGGCTCGCTCCACTACACAAGACAAAAATTATGTGGTGCATCTTACCATGTTATAGTGGAAGATGCATCCCCATTTGGCACATTTGGTAAGTGCCCTCTCTCTCTCTCTCTCTCTCTCTCTCTCTCTCTCTCTCTCTCTCTCTCTCTCTCACACACACACACACACACACACACACACGCACTCTCTCTCTCTCTCTCACACACACACACAAACACACACTCTCACTCTCTCTCTCTCTCTCTCACACACACACACACACGCACACACACACACACACACACACTTTCCTTTCGAAGGAGAGAAAGGGTGATGATCAGCCGGGCATAGCAATCCCAACCTTTCCCCCTCCCTCGTTCCTGTCCTCCTCCTCCTCATATTTCCCTCCACTCGTTCATCCTTCCTCTCCTCCTTCCTTTCTATCTGCAGGTCCTGCTCTCTTTGACACGCACTGCGTGATCAGCATTTTTACGTTTACTTTTATTTTTATTTTCAAGGCTTGTTCATTGTGATCATCTTGTCGATTATGGCAATTTCAATGTTACTTGTGATGTGCGACTTGCCGACGTGCTCTCTAAGGGCATACTCACAAGACGTTTTTACGTGTCTTGGACCAAATTGCGGTGATCAGATACATCCAGGCAAGGCTGTGAATGCGGTCAGATACATTTGAGATACTGCTAGTGTGAGTACCCGCTAAGGTAGCCATCGATGACAATATAGTGATAGTGATGGACATAAACTTTGACCCCCAAACCCTAATTTTTCAGTTTTAGACCCTCTAGTCAGGAGCTGAAAGTGGGGGGTCCCCCCGTTAACCACTTGTGGGATTACGTCGGTTAAACTGCTGACGTGGCTAGAATGCTGACGTGGCACGATAAGGTGTCGCTCGCTAAACCGTGAAAACTGGAGCATGGTACCCTAACGAGCCTAGCTCAATTGGTACACCCACCCCTCCCCCCCAACTGTTGAAATATGAATCTGACCCAAGTTCGAATCCAGATACACTATCAGATGAACAGATTGACAAATTTCTGAATTACCTGCGGCCGGTCAGCTTCAATCATGGATGGATGGTATCTTCTTTTTTCTTTTTTTTCGGGCAAACGATGGATGATATCTTTTTTTTCTTTTCTTTTTTTTTCTTTTTTTTTAACATCACCTTTTTATTTCAAAAACGATTGCAATCGAGGCCCGACACCTCACAATTCAACCCGGTGTTATCCTTCCTGGCAGCATCAGCCAGTTTCAGTTTAGCTTATTACTGTCAACCGACTACAGATCTGCAATAACAACCTGATTGAGAGTAACTATAAAAATAGTATAAATCCTTGACCTATATATCGAGCAGCTCGAAAAGATTCTTGACTATAATTTTTTAAACTATTAAGGTTGGAGCCTCTCCCCGGGTGCTAGTGGTGTCTGATCTTGTCAGCACCACTAGCACTGCAGGGACAGCATGTTATCTCTAAAAAAAAAA